GTGACAGAAAACTCCCCAAACTCCCGAAAGTCTTTTAAACAACATTTTGACTTTGTGACATTAAAAGTGAACACTGACGGTGAATCATGTAAGCTGGAGTAGCAGCGGACAGGTGAGGCCGTCTGTGGCAGGAGGTCATCTTAAAGGAATACTTAACTTACTTCATTTCTTTATCAATTACGCACCCATGTTATGTTGAATTTGTGAAAAAGAAAATGTTTCGGTTTCTCTTGCATGCCTTCACTGTGAACGAAGAATCCAAAAACTGAGAATATTCTTGATGAATTGAAGTCATAAGGGTCTGCGTTTAACAACAGGAAAACTCCATCAAATCATGTGTTTACAAGCTCTCACACAACTCGTGCCTTATAACCCAAGTCTTATTTATCCAGTCGTATGTTCAGTAATTCTCAAACACCTGCATTTTTACTAACACCTTACAATTTAAAACACCTCAGCGCTCAGCAATAACAACTTCCCTATTGCCTGGGGCAAGTAAAATTACACGATGGGCTTGTCAATCTAGCAATAAAGAATTAAACATGTTGACTTTTCTGGAGCTGATGATAGGAAGTAGCAAAGGAGTGAGCCATCTCACTTCCATCTCTTCTCTGTTGAGATGTGCACATGCACAGTACCTGTCTGGCTTTTACGAGGAAATGACGACAGGTAAAAAAAAATTATTACCTAAAGCGCAAGCTAGCATTTTAATTATCCTGGAAACAAGAGTTTAGTTGGGTGGGGTAAGACGATGTGGGCAAAACTCCAACCATGTGTTGCACAGTTTGTCATAAGTTTGAGAGCAAGGTTGATAATATGGGGTTGTTATTCACGACGGTTAACTTCAGTCTTTGTTATTTTGATAACTGATGATAAATAACACAATTAGACTCCGGGCAAGTAGATTTCTGACCCACTTGCCCAACCGAGCGAGTTACAACAAAAACATTTACGTTGAGCCTTACACTTATGCATCATTATTCTCGTGCACGCAAGAGAAGCACGCCCAATGGAACGCACAAGCAGAGTTCAAATGCACACACTTGCCCATGTGTGCTACTTGTGTGTGGCAGTGTTTTGAATAGTAAAGTTTTAACAAAAATGCATGTGTTAAGGAAGCACTGAGCGTACGACTGGATAACCAAGAAATGGATTATACTGCAGGAGTTCTGTCAGAGTTTGTAAATGGATGTTTAGATATAGTTTTGCTGTTGTTAAACATGGACCCTATTTACTTAAATTCATCAAGAATTTTCTTACTTTTTGGATTCTTCGTTCACCATGGAGGCATGCAAGGAAAACAAACTTTCATCACAAATCAAGTTTTCTTCACGAATTTGACATAACACAGTGTGAGTAACTGACACTAACACAAATGGTCATGGAGTCATTCAATTAGGCGCACATACAGTGGTGGAAAAAAGTTTTCGGACACCCCATGCATTTGTGAAATATTGCATTAAGAATCACTCTTAGGTCTTCAAGTGCAATTTCTTTTAGTACAGTCACAGCCAAAATACTAAATAAATCCTAAAAAAGCCATTAAAAACTTAAAATTGATTGGTTCCATAAAAATACATAAGAAATTTTGAGTATTGGGTCATTTTGGTACCAGTGATGAAGGTCGTTCTTTTTATTAAAAGACACAATTTTTGTTGCCAAGCTTTGTGTCTACATAAAGCCAGAACATTTGAAAGTTCTTCAGACACAAAAATGGCTAAAACAAGGAACCTAACGCAGGAAACACGCCTGAAGATAAAGATTCTCAGCCAGGAAGGGTACAGCTGCCGCCAGATAGCCAGGAAGTGCAGATGCATTCCTTCAGCAGTTGGATACACTCTGCAGAAATACAGACGAACCAACAGCTTGGAAGACAAACCAAGATCTGGGCGTCCAAGGGTTTCTTCAGCAAGAAATGACCGCATTCTGATCCGCATGTGCAGGCAAAACCGCCGAATGACATCACAGGAGCTTCAGCAGCAGTGGTCAAACCAAACTGGTGTCCAGTGTTCCACCCGCACTGTACGTGGCCGACTTTCAGATCATGGCTTAAGGTCCTACAAGGCTATCAAGAAGCCCCTGATCAATGAGAGACAGAGGTTAGCCCAGCGTCGTTGGGCCCAGGCACACAAGAACTGGACAGCCAAGAATTGGAGGAAGATTTTGTGGTCAGATGAGTCCAGTTTCCAGCTTTATCTTCCTCCTACTAATGTGAGGGTACGCAGAAGGCCAGGCGAAGCATTATCTCCAGCATGTACAGTACCTACTGTCAAGCATGGTGGAAGCAGTATCATGGTTTGGGGATGCATGAGTGCTGCTGGTGTTGGTCATCTCACTGTCTGTGATGGCACATTGAACTATACCAAGTATTGTACCATTCTCGAAACCCACATGCTCCCTTCTGCGCATGCACTGTTCCGTCGAGGTAAAAACTGGATGTTTCAACAAGATAATGCCCCTTGCCACACATCCAAGGCCAGTAGAACTTGGCTGCAGGAGCACAGTATCCAGGTCTTAGAGTGGCCAGCTCAATCCCTGGACATGAGCCCCATTGAAAATCTGTGGTGGATTATCAAAAGGTCTGTTTCAAAGCATAAACCAAAGAATTTAGAAGAATTAAAAGCAGTAATTCAAGAAGAATGGGACAAGATTACCCCTCAACAGTGTGAAAGGCTCGTGGGGAACATGCCAGCCAGGATTAGAGCTCTACTACGTGCCAATGGCAGGACTACTAAATATTAATTTGATGATGTGATGGTTTATTTATTTTTTGTTCAGTTTTGAACACATTCTCTGTTATTTGTTGACTTTGATACCGACAATGTTGAGAACTGACATATTGAAACTGTCAAGAATTTAGTTTTGTTAGTTTTTCTTGTAAACAATAAAAAAAAATATATATATAATTTGTATTTGTTTGTATCTGTCTAATGCAGCCACACCTTTTGAAACACAAAAAAGATTTTTCCACAAATATTTCATGATAATATTTGAGATTGTGTAAAATTTTAAGGGTGTCCGAAAACTTTTTTCCACCACTGTATTAAGGATACTTCTTTCTGTAGCTCTGAGGTTTTCTATGATGGCTTACCAAACAAAGAGACAAGAATATAATTCAAGAATATAAGATGTTCTCATGTCAGTCAGAACGATGCATCAAGGAAATGGCAGGAAATGGCAGGAAATGCAGTTGACAGCTGGTTTGAAAGTTGTTTTTAGCATCACACTTGATGACAGCATGAATGTGTGTTACGTACATACAGGATAAGCTGTATTGGAAAATGAATGAATGAGTGATTGATAAACAAAAAAAAAAACATGTTGCTAACCCCTGTTCTAATATTTGAAAATAAAACCCTTCTTATAAACTGCTGTTAGTGGCAGTGACAGCTGAGATTTCACAGCCAGTGAAGCTTATCAGCGTCTTCAACCAGTGGTAATTTTCGAAGCATTTCCGATACATAAGGCCTCCTATGTAATCCAAATTGATTTTCTCATCACTGCTGATCCCCATGCTGATACTGACAGCATTGTCTACTTCCAATATTTGGCTCAGCTTTAACAAAACTTATCCCCCGCTGAGCAAAACACTATATTTCTATGACTCATGTACTTGTCAAAGACAGCAGGAGAAATGGAGGGAGAGGAGAAATAACGAAAAAGGAAGGAAGAAAATAGATAGTGGAGGAGAAGAGGAAGGAACAGGAGCAGGAAGGAAATACTGAGAGGGAGAAAGTGAGAAAAGCAGAGAGGAGAGAGGTGCTTTGGGAGCTGAACATTATTTAGACTAAATGAGGTCAAGACCTTGAGATATACTCTGAATCTCAAATGTAGTTGTTCACATTTGCAGTGTGTGTTTACGTGCTTCTGCATGGCCTTGTGTGTGTGTGTGTGCGTGTGTGTGTGTGTTGGCATGTGTCCATGCAGTCAATAGAATACCAACCAGGTCAATGTCATTTTTTCCTGCACTTAAATCCTCCTTTGGACAATCAGGTCTCTTTATTCAGGGTAATGTGTGAGTTTAACGCCTCACACAAACACACACACACACACACACACCTCCATCACTGTCTGCCTGCCACTCCGCGTCTCCGTCTCTCGTTCCTCATCTGTCGTCGCGGGGTAATAAGGTCATTAAAAAGCCGACCTTACATTGACCGCACCTTGCTGCATCTTCGCTCCAATCAGCCACCTCCTACAGGTCGCCTTGGAAACAGACAGCCAATGGGAGAGCGGATCAGAGAGCAAAGGTGTTCTGCTAGTGAGGACTGCTATATCACTGTCTAAACACTGCACACACACACACATTTGGTGCTACCTTTTTTTGTAGCTATCGCAGCACATGAGCACACACAGCACTGCTGCTCCTTTATTGTTCAGTCTGCAGCCGTTATGTGTTCAGGTTTGTGAATGGCTTCAAACGGAGGTGAGACCGTGAGAGAACAATGTGAGGTACACCTCTGCGTTTGGTTACAGGCCCGGCACAGCAGAGACGTGTCAGAGTGGGTGGCGGTTTTCATTTTGACGATAGCAACAAATATGAAACTATCTACCTTGGCGTCGTAGCATCAGCAGAGCAATACAGCTCCTTTTTAAAAACATTGTGAAATGTTTTTAACAGTCGTATGTTATGATGACGAGTATTAAACCAGTGTTAGTGCAGCTGTGGAACCATGAAACTTTAGGCTAACCTTGAGGTTGTCATTGAAGATACCAGTCTTCCTGTGTGTGTGTGTGTGTGTGTGTGTCTCCATTGATTCAAGTGCTCTATTTTGGAGCAAAATACCACAGAGCTGTTCTGCTCCACTTACACCAACACCTGTTTTCTCTGTCTGTTCCAACAATTTGTTCAGTGTGCTTTCTGTGTTATCTCTTTATCTGTCTGTCTGTCTGTTTATCTGTCTGTCTGTCTGTCTGTTTATTTGTCGGTCTGTCTGTTTATCTGTCTGTCTCACACAAAAGAATAATCCCTCTGTTTCTGCTGCTCTTTTTGTTTCCAGTTGATGGGGTTCATCTACGCCTGCTATGTGGTCAAGCTCATTTCAGAAGAAGAGGATAGCTGTGAGTACACACACCCACACACATGGACGCAAATATTTTACAGCAGATCCTCCAGGGCTGAAAAATTAAGCCCACACAGAGGTGCTAAAACTGCAGTTCCTCGAATGGCCACTTGAGGCCAGCTCCTAAGGAGAGTCAGTTCTCACAGGAATGAGTCCAAAAACCCGAAAATGGGTTTGAGGTTAGATGCCTGACATAAGGGAGACGTGTGCAGCTGCAGACACATTGCATTTGTAGCGTACAAGACACACCCCTACAAACCATGCCCACTGTTAGTACAAGACAAATCCACCATTGTGACAGTAATCATTGACATACATGAGCATTTTTTTTATCCCATTTAACTGCATACATTGGCAAAGAGTGTATGAATGTGAGTGGAATGGAGGCATTTATTTATTTTTAATACTATTGTATTACTATTTATTACTTATATTTATATATCTGAGCCAGGTCTTTAAGTGCACCTCAATTTCGCTGTATGTTTGTACAATGATCTATCTGAACCCTGCTACAATGCTACACTGTAGTGGCTAAATATGAGGCCCAAAGGTATTAATAATCCACTTTATGATTCATTTTACACAAAGACTTGATTCACTTCATAAGTAACGAGATGTAACCCTAATGACCTTTTTAACCTAATACTTCATAGCTAGCTAATTGCTAACGTAGCATTTACGTCAGGGCTTTCGCTTCCGGGCCAAGGAAGCCACAGTACTCCAATTAAGGTCTGTGGTTAACACAAGCACATGAGACATTCACGTTTTGTTTTACGACAAATACATCAGCAAATACCACACTCGAGAATTTTGAAGCTTTTATGTGGCTTAAAAAAGACGATTGCTAACAAGTAGCTAAATGAGACTACAGAACGTCATCACGCCAAACACGGCTTTACAGCCTCCTTGTGGTGGTGACGAAGTCATGCGACTGTAGTGTAGTTTGTTTATAGCCTAATATTTGCTTTATGCTTCTGGCATTTACACTTCAAAAATCATTGAAGTGGTGTTAGTTTGTGATGATTTTTTTTTAATACTTTATTTATAGTTTTTCAAGTTTAAACCACATACAAAACACACAGACGAACAAAACAAACAAAACAAAACAAAGTGCCAGCCCACAGAAATGTATACAAAAAAACAAATATGCATGTCAGTTTACAGACTGATTCAAGAGTCCAGAAGTGGATTATACAGTCCAAGACAGTCCACAAAACCGAGACCAAGTTAGGTCAAGGAGACTATTAGTTTGTGATGATTATCTTGCTGAACATAACATGTAATCATCATTTACTTTTGTTTGCCACAGAGTTTATTGTCTGCAGTAATCCAACATCCAATGCAAAAATCCTATCATCTTTTTGTCAAGGGAACCAGGGCAAAGTTGACCTCTGGGTTGGCCTACAAATAAACATCATCCCTGCAGCACTTTGTAGACACCCATGATAAAGGAGAAGTCCGGTATTTTGCACTTTGGGCCCCATTTCTGGGTTGTTTATGATGAAATAGAGTGGCTAAGACTAAAATAGTGATGATTGCTCATTTTCAGAGAAAAAATGAGCAGAGCATGAGCAGAGAATATTTCATCATAAACAACTTAGAAATGGGGCTCAAAGTGCAAAATACCAGACTTCACCTAAGAAATGACCAACTTTACAGCAGAAATAAACATGTTTACAGCCTGGTACCAATAAACGTTTTTGGTGTTTGTTGCTAATTTCCTGTACAGGGGGTGAATTTTCAATATGACCTTGTTAGTAATGTTAATAAGACTTAAAGTTATGCATAAATAAGGGCGTGGCTGCTTCGAGTGACAGTCAGATCCAGTCCTCGCTCCTCCACAGCTTCACCCTCTCATCTAAGTACAGTCACTTCTTCCTTGGCTCCAAAAATCCAAAAAGCGACAGCCAGGATGTCAATGTATCATAAATGCTAGTGTGTGCAGCTCACGTTACAGCAGACGAACACACTGTTTAATCCATCCCTTACACTTTTGCTCTTGAGTTTTTTTGTTTTGGAAAGGTCAACAAAATGCACTGCTCTCCAAACTCCTTAAATGTCAAGTATCACTCTTAAAACACAATATGTGGAGGAATTCAAAGACCTGCTGTGTTTAGTTATGGTTGCTAAGGTGTGATTCAACAATCCCTGTTCAAGGGGACAGGGTTAGCGAACTGTCATCTTGGAATATATTTGATAAAGTAGGTTTCAGTTTGCGTGTCTGGTTCTCCTGAGTTAAGGAAGTAGTTTTCTCTTCAACCCTATCTCCTGGCTCATCCTCTCGTTCTGTGTCCTTGTAATGAAGCAGCAGGTTTGAATGAAGCCATCTTGGACTGAGGGGATGTGCTGACACTTCGACAGAACTCAAAGTGAAACCTGTAGCCTCCAGATTTTGCAGCCAGGCTCATTCATTTACAGTGACATGCCGAGAAAGAGAGTGACGGATGAGGAGTGTTAGGTAGATTCATGCTAGATCAAAGTTGTCTTTCATTTATGCGTCTCGCCCACATACTCTCCACTTTAAACCACAGAGCAACAGTCACAGGGAGAATCTAACGGATGAGGAGAAAAGGACCAACAAAACATGTTCACCCGTCCATTCAGACATCATTATTCTTCATTCAGTCTCTTATCAATCCATCAATTCATCAATACAACCATGTTGATAGGGACGTGTTCAACACTGACTACCATTTAGTAAGCATTTACACAGTCTGAATAAATCACAGTTAAAGTCTAACACCAGTAACAGAGGAGCAAAATGAAGCAAATCAACATGTTAATTCTGCGATTGTTGTATTTTGAATGCAGCGCGTGTCTCTGAGCATTAACTTGAATGAGCCCATTTACCTGAGGCCGTCAGTTTAGTTATTCCATTAAAGTAGACGCAGCCCAGGATCAATACCTAAGCATGTCTTATTCAACACTGAATCGAGGATGGTGTTTGGTAACACATAAATATTGATAGGTGATAAATGCCGACTGGATCAGTAGAAATAGTTGAGAGAAGACCAGCTTTCCTGCTTTCCTTGTGCCCAGAGCAGATTGGGGAGTGAGATTGACGGGAAAAATGGGCTACATGTCCACGGCTATAGTCTCCTGTTATATTTGCTGGATATGTTTTTCCACAGCAGGGCAGGTAAAAGAAGTTTACCTGTTGGAGGTGAGCTGTTTGCAGAGGTGCAGTAAGAGCCTGTTGTCTGCAGCTCTTCATTAACATCTCACTGTGGCTGTTTCTGCTTTCACTCTTCCTCCCTGCCATATTATTAGACTTGTCTTAATTGAAGAAAAGCCGCTAACAAAGTTCCGCTAATTCAGTAATTAACACATTTTATTTCCTGTAGATCCTTCGAAATAAAAGTCCCCATTATTTTGTTATGTAAGAACTTTTATTGTGAAGCAGCAAAATAAGGAAATGTTGAGTTTTCCAGCAGCAACTTCACACAATTTCTGATACGGCTGATAGCGAACATGAAACAGTAAAATAAAACAGATATTTGAGGTAAAAACAGGACGCAGGAGAGAAACTAAACTCCAAACCACAGAGATTCAGTTTGAAGCTAGTAAAGTACTGAGAGCTGAACACAGAGACTTTTAAAAACACATTTTTCTCCTTTCCTGCAGACAGAGGTGAGGAGAGTCTTGCAACACACACGGCTTGTTTTAGGGGGAGAAGGGGGGTCGTTGGGGGTTAGCTGGGGCCGGCAAGACGCCACTGCTACCTGCTTGAGGGCGGGCGACCCGACTTTTGGACCTACTCAGTAGAAGGTCCATCTCTGGTGCAGCCTGGCATGGCCTACCCTGTAGCCTGACGTGCACCTCCCTAGAAATGTAACTACGTGTCGCAGTGATGCAGATTCCTATCTGTTTCTGTAAGCTGAAACCATTTCCGTCAGTGGAAACAAAGCTTTAATTTACTTTAATTTCACAGAAAAGAAACAATAAATTGTGAAGACAATAAAGCCTCTACAAAAATAGCATTTTAAGTCTTGTGTGTGATTTGTCCTGGCTTCATATGAGCAGAGGAACTCTCTGCTGGTCGCTAGGCTAATTTATACAATGAAAAATGCCATAAGCTTGTGCTAATATTGTTAGCATGTTATATTTGTTTGGAAAACCTGCTTAGCCTGTTTAGTATGAGACAGTTGTTTTGTCAGTGAACCTTGTGAGTTGTAATGGAGCCAAATTCTGTAGCGTTACTTTTGTTAAATGTTGCTGTTGTTCTTGGCTTCATGAGCAGAGGAAAAGTCTGCTAGCCACTAGGCTAATTTATACAATGTAAAATGCCATAAGTTGTGCCAATAAAGTTAGCATGTTATATTTGTTTGGAAAACATGTTTAGTATGAGACAGTTGTTTTGTCGGTGAACCTTGTGACTTGTTATGGAGCTGAATTTTGTAACGTTACTTTTGTTAAATGTTGCTGTTGTTCTTGGCTTCGTATGAGTAGAGAGAAGTCTTCTAGTCGCTAGGCTAATTTATACAATGTAAAATGCCATAGACTTGTGCTAAAAACATTAACATGTTGTATTTGTGGGGAAAATGTGTCCAGATAAAGATAGGTGCTTTGTCTGTGAATGCTGCAAGTTATAGTGTAGCTATACACCATGTACACCACCGTGTTTAGAATCAACTAAACTTTACAGCACTTCACAGAAACCCCACTGCACATTATACATTTGCGGTAAAGTTTAGTTGATTTTTTTTGTTCACAACGGCATAGGCTATGGCGTAGGGTCTGCTGCACAAGTATAGATCCCCCTGAATGAACAAACAGATTAAACAGAGGAGCAGCTCTGTGTCTCTCTGAGTGTTGCTCGAAAACTTGTGAGTGGATGAGTGGGGCAGAGCTGTTAGAGAGGAGAAATGCACACTGGTATGCTTTATGTAACACAACTTGACCCTGTATCAATATAAATGGTGTTGTCTAAATTTATATCTTGCTTAAACATATATCAATGTATCTCACATAGTCGTTATATTGCTCAGTCCCAGTCAG